TCATTCTCACTATCTCAATCCTAGAAAAAAGCAAGTACTAGATTGATGAACTTCTGTAGATAGACCACCTTAGTCCTCATTACAAGTGTAGTGAGTGCTTTCCTCGGGTTCAGGTGGCTGTGCAACATGGTTGGGAATGTAGCTGACTGCGCACCTGTACAAGTGAAAGGATGAAGGTTGGGCTGCAAGAAGGCTTTGACTTTCGAGTTAGTAACACTCAGTGTATACGTGTAGATAGTAAAGAATGTTCTGCAACATCTAAGTCGTATCAGAAAAAAATGTTGGTATTCGTGTTGGAGGGTGATTATGCTTCAAGTGTTAGGGGTTTGCGGTGCATTTAGTGCTTTTTGACTATGTTTATTTGTAGTTCGTCATATTAGTTTTGACCAGTGTTGTAAATAACGCTCGCCTCAGCGCTAATAGCGTGAGGCGATGCGAGCTGCCATCACTATTTTACAGTGTGGTGTACCATTTTCAAAGAGGCGAGCGCCTCTGCCTCTGTAGCGTGTGGCGACTTGTAGCGTGAGGCGAGCTGTAGCATCGCTTTTTGCAAAAAAGAAAAGAAGAAGTCAGCAACAACGATATATTAAAATAAAAAATTAGGGCTCGCGATTTCTTTACTCTTTCTCCTTCAAGTCGACAGCGGACCTACAACAGACCAGCAATTTTCTTTCTTTTTTCTTCATCAGGTATGCTTCTCTTCATCTCTTTTCTTCTTCTCCTTTCTTCTTTCTTCGAGTTTATGTTCTGTGACTCTTACCAATTTTCTTCTTTCTTCTTTCCTCTTTCTTCTTTCTTCTTCTTTCTTTTTGTTTTGGGCTCTGGCTTTTATCGCTGGTGCTGCAACAGAACAGAGTCTGTGTTGCTCTGTTTTTTCTTCCTTTTTCTTCTTCTTCTTCTTCTTCTTCTCTTCTTCTTTCTTTTTGTTTTGGGCTCTGTTTTTGATCGCTGCTGCTGCAACAGAACAGAGTCTATGTTGCTCTGTTTTTTCTTCTTCTTTTTTTTTTTTTTTGGCTCTGTTTTTGATCACTGCTGCTGTACTCAACAGAACAGTCCGAGAAAGGCTCTGTTTTTTTAATGAAGACTCCGAGGATGAAGAAGATGATAGCCAATATAATGCTAACATTCTTGAAATTCAAGAATTTGAAAATCTTGAAGAAGAATAGATGTTGCTTGATTTAGACTTATAGTTTATGAATCTACTATGACTATCTATTGAGTTTTTAATTTTTGAATTGATATATTTATTAATATATTATTGCTATTGAGTTTTTAGTTATATATATAATATTTTATTTTTTTGTATAAATTGTTGCTTCACATCAAAAAGGCGAGCGCTTCGTTGTTCGCCTCTCGCCTCAGTGAAGCGGGCCCTCGTCGCTATTTGTCGCCGCACGCTATCCAAAACACTGGTTTTGACAAGTGATTACATGAAACACTGTAACTTATGAAGGCCTCTCATCAGTGTCAATTTGTTGGTGTGTTTGGAACAAATCAAATGAGTGATTTGAGCCACAAGGATAATAAAGGACATGATTGTAGCTTAGATTGAGGTTGAGCGTATTGCTATCTAGGAGGTTCGTTATAGGAAATATTCACAATCTCCTCTTCATTTGTTTCGACTTTCCTTTGTTATCCTTGGCTACTGAACTGATTTCACTGGTTATCCCGAAACATGGCATTTCCTTTAGGCTGGTAACGCCCCAGCCTTCACTTTCCTCTGTAAATCATTAGCAAGAGGGGTAGAGATTATTACTAAGAGCCCGCCATATTCGCAGATGTTTATAGGCACTGAGGAGAGAAAAGGGTAGGTAATCAAGTTAATATCTAGTTCACAACTCAAAGTTACCACGAGGAGAATGTTCCTTAACATAAGAGGTCCATATCATAAATTCACAGATCATACCAACTTAAAAGGTTTAACATTTCCTTTAGAGACTCATGCCAATCGTGCACATGAAGTGCCAATTTGGCAGCAACATCACTTAATTCTTTGGTTTTACAGTCTAAATGAATGACAATTGACTAACAACAAACTGGCTAGTTATATTCCTCATATGGTGTATTTGGTTATGAACAGAATAATGGTCCAATTAAGGTGTCAATTGAGTGAATGTGAATAACAAAAGTTAGTCTACTGGTCAGTCCACTTCATTTAATGTATCAGCCTCGTGATACTGTTATATGTGAGGATCTTAAGGTCAGAACTCAGAAGAGGATTCACCCATTACCAGATACACTCAGACTTATTATTCCCCATTGGATCAGGTCCAGACTTAATCCGATGTAGATATCTGCCTACACTCCTGAAGAGCAGCCCAAAACAAGGTTGCCGCTCTCTCTTGAAGGTGATGTCAGGGATAATGTAATTAATTACCGCTCAAGTGTTAACAAGTAGTACCCTATTCATGTTGCTACTGTTACTAGTTATAGCATTCCTAACATTTAGAACTACCTTATGCTATTCATTGAGCCTAACTAACTTGCATGTTGGAGCATTGCCTGTCGTTCTCTCTCAAGCACATATCCAAGTTAGTTTTATTCTGAATTCAAGGCTGGGATAGCCGAGCCCCGAGGATGAGACTTGACTGCAGCATATATGTTGTTTAAGGAAAGCTAGATATATATTTAGAGCTGAGAAGCATCCAAGCAAGCTAACACACTTGAGAATCGATGGAAGGTTACGTAGAGAACTATGTTTGACCTTTTAACTAAGTAAGCAATTTTTTTTCATCAAGCAGCATCAAGGATGAATCGTTACGGTTACAAAGACACAGCTTCTCGTTAATCATGAAAGGAGCTGAGAAAATCTGTGAAGTATCTAAGTCATATGTATATATTCAATAAGCTACACCAAAAGGCCAAAAGTACAAGCATCTGTATATACTATATAAGTATATGTACTGGTTAAGCCTTGCCCTCACTCTTTCTCATCCATATTACCCAAAACATGATCAGTTGAATAGTATTTGATCAGTTGAATAGTATTTGATCAGTTTAATTCTATGTACTGGTTAAGCCTTGCCTTCATAGCATCTCCGACCTCTTTCCGGTCATATTACCCAAACCACAATCATGCTGAACAGTATTTGATCTACTCTGTTTGCTCATTCTCCTTCCAAACAAAAACTACATTCAACCTTGACTCTTAACACTTCCGTGTACCAGTAAAAATTTGAACTTATATGAAGGGAACAACATTGAATAAATCTAGCTGGATGTAGAGAAAATATATCTTTCAATTCTTTATGTAAGCCTGGAAACAGACTTGCACAATTTCTCTTGACCCTCTCCACGAAAATCAGACCAGTCACTTTTTAATAATAAAAAAGAAAATCAGGTCAGTAACTTTCCCTTCCGCAAATGTACATCATGCTACTAGGACATGCCCTGGGTTACAACCTTTTGAAGAGTGGAAATTGTTCTCTCCGAGAATGTTTTGGTGAATGGCTCATTAAATTGAGCCACTATTGCATTGCTATTTATAGTGAGAGGAATGCATAAAAGAGATATNTAACAATATTACCTACAAGCTATCATCTATCTACAATAGATCAGCACAAATGAGTCCTAATACCCTTAACACTTGCATTTTCAAAGAAGAAAGAGAAGTCAATATTAGCTTGGAATTTTACATTTGGGCAGCTTGCAGCATTTTCCGTTTTTCAGTCACATCTATTTCTTATAGAAATCTTAAATGGGCGAATATTGAGGTAAAGAACATACAATTTGGATCTTTGTAGCTATAAGAGACCAAATATTGGTATCTGCTTCTGAGATATGTCCCTGCTCTTTGTGCTTCAAATTAAATGCAAGATCAACCACTTCTTTATCTTTTTATATCAATCAAACTGGTATAGTAGACTTTCTGCAGTCTCCCTCTGTTTGTTCTATTGTCCTATGGCAGTTTAGATGCCCTTGTTCTGTTAATGTTGAGCGCTTAAAAGTTGCTGCATGTTAATCTATCTACCTATCGCTGCACATGATTTGATAAAGTATAGGGATCAAGGAGTTGAACTTTTGAACTGTGTGTGATGTAGCGTTATAGAAGAAATATACCAAATATTTGTAATACCAACCTGCTAGAAAATTTGCTACATAAAGTGGAATGTGGGTTGACAAGTAGGGGGGAGTTTGATGTTAGCTTCTTGGGAAGTGACTTGAGAGTAGCATTTTCTAACTAGATGTGAAGTGGTCTGTAGGATAGTCTAACAACCATAGATTACCTCATGAAGACTTCTAAAATGTTGAGTTCCGATTGCTGTACCATTTTCCTTATTTTAGATCGATCGAATCGTCACCGGAAATATAACATTGGCTTACTTGAGTTACATGGTGGCCTATGCAGAGTTTAGGATTTTCAAATGTTTACTATTGTAAAACATGTAAGCAACTCATGTTGCAGCAGACTCATTAGTGTCCATAATACTAAATGTTTGTAAATATCATAAGACAAAAGTAAAGACAGCATACTGAAGTAATTGATGAAATCATGTGGCACGTTTTTATGTCAAGTGTATTAATCAGCAACCCATGATAATAGGTGTTTTTACTTGGCTTTTGATTCTGAAGGCAGAAACCACCTTTTTCCTGTTTTGTTAGTGTAGGAACCAGGATCTTGTTACATAAAGTCATAAACTAGAAAAAGATGCATATTTCCATGTAAAATTTGATAAGGACTGAGCCTTGTATGCATGTTACTATAGCAAATGAGATGTGTGCTATGATATATGCTTCCTATGTACTTTTTTTTTACTAACCGATTGATATGTGTACAAGCAAAATCAACGATTAAGCTTCCGTGTGCTATTTGCAAAGTTGCTCTGCTTTTCCATTCGTGATGTTATTTCCTTCTGCCAATCAGATATGAAGTTGAGTGTCATTAAATGAGTAATTCCAAGGATAAATGTTTTTTTCCAACGTAGACAGGTGTAGTTGGTTCTGCAACAGTATTTAGATGTTCTTTCTTTTGTACCTTAGCATGTCTCTTTCCCTTCCAGTTGAAAGGCAAAGAAAAGGAGCTACATCTGCAGGAGACGACCGCAGCTGCTGTTTCAAGAAGAGAATTGATAGGCTTGGCAGCTACAACATTAGGTGGACTTGCCCTTTTTGCTACTGAGCCTGCAGAGGCACTTGAAGTAGCTGATATCGGGAGTTCGCTCAAGGAGCTGCTGGGGATTTTCAAGGGCAAGCCAAAAACTGGAGCTGGCAACGAAAAGAATCCAAAAGTTGAAAATGACAAGAAACCAAAAATGGATGAAAAAGGGAAACCAAAGAGTGAAGGTGAGGTAAAAAAGCCAGAAGTAGTAGACAATGGGAAGAAACCGAAGAGTGAAACTGATGAAAAGAAGGCAAAAATGGAAGGCAATGTAAACAAACCAAAGCATGAAGCTGATGAAAAGAAGCCAAAAATTGGAGATGATAAGAAGGCACCAACCCCTTATCACTCAGAGAAGGCAAAAGTGTCAGTTTCTTCTGCTGCACCAACCCTTCCCAATCTTTTGAATTCCTCAGTTCCCTAACTTCTCATTTGGAAATGTTGTTGTCCTCAGATAGCTTTTCAAGAAACTTTGACAAACTTTTCTTGTGCTACAAATCATTGTAGCTAAACTCATGTCTAAATGATTATGTTAGACAAGGTTTGTATGGATCAATGAGCTCAATGTCAAGACTATTGAAGTATTTTCAGTTAAAAGATTTTTATTCTATCTTTTCATTAAATTACAATGCCTTACATGATTGATATCATGCAAACCTTGTGAAAAAAAAAAGGTTATAATGAAAGAAAAAGATTCATAGAGATGATACCAATTAGTTGAGACTAAGTTTTAGTTATGTTAGTATGCATACTTTAGCTACAATGTTTGCTATGAATCTTTCAGTCTTGTTAGAAATTTATATGACAATAGAAAATGTAAAGAACTCCTAATGCTAGAGAAGCTAATCTTTTATGATATTGAATTAAGACGAGTTTAAGTAGGACATGGACATTAGGATTCAAATAGCTTATCTAACTTGCTTGGGATGGAGTTGGAGCATGTTCTAGGATTAAGTATTGTTAGTCTAATGTAGAGCAAAGTGCATATAATAAGTTAACAACCATAAAATCATTTTATTATAGTGGAAACAACAAATACTTGTAATATCTCACTATAAACTACAAACAAATATAACCCCCCCCCCCCCCCAAAAAAAAAAGAATTCAAGCAGTTTTCTTGTTCATATTTTCCACTAACTTACGCATTTGGAATCTCCAAAACAAGAAATAAGCTAATCCTAATCCAATCAATCCATATAACCAAATATTATCTTCTTTATTCTCTTCCTCAGATTCCACTTCAACTATACTAAACTTTTCTCTCTCAGTATTTCCCATTTTACCCTCCATTACATGCCCATATAACACATATACCCTATTCCGATCTCCTACTGCCACAGATGTAGGAAATCTCTCCCCTTCAAGGGCAGTTTCGTCAAATACCACTCCCTCTCCCCACCCATCATTGCTCCTTAAGAAATACAGCTTGTGTTGACTCACGACTAATACGACGCCGTCTTTTCTAACGGCCATTCCATCAGCTGCCGTTAAGTCCTTGTTTAATCTAACGGTCCTTGCCGTTCCGTCATCAACGTCGACTTTGAACATTTTCCCCGTATTTGATTGGACGACTAGTAAGTAACCATTGAAGCTGTAAACGACACCGTTTAGGCCGCATTTGTGATACTCTGTGGTCGTGTCCACGGGATGGGATTTGTACGCCTTAGATTTAGATAAGACTAAAACGTTGCCGTTTATGTCAATTTTCCAGATGAAATTACCGCCGGAGTTCGTGACGTAAGCATTGCCGGAGAAATCGACAGCAACGTCGTTTGCGACGGCGGAATGAGCTTCCTCGGTGACGGTGTCGACGAGAGGGGAGAGGAAGAGGCGGAGGCGTGATCGGAGGTCGTAGGCGGCGAGGGCATTGAAAGGCTCGGGAGATTCTGGCGACGGCATGCGGTGGATGCAGGCGAGGAGGCGGTTGTTGCGTCGNTGTATATATATATATATATATATATATTTTATTTTATTATTTTTTTTATTTTTTTTAAAGGTTCATTATTTTATTCGAACCGAAACCTCTGGTTTGATAATTGTCAGCTTATCTTTGATTTTGAATTTCTTTGATCTTGTTCATTAGTTCAATAGAGCATATCGTAACATTTGAATATAAGCTTTTTAAGAAAATTTTAAAAAAAAATTTGTTTATGGAAATTAAAGGGAATAGAAGGGTAAAAAATAGAAAAGATGACTAGATGAGTATCGTAATAAATTAATTTACTTAAGGTTATTGAAATTAGTTGTGCAGCTTTAAGACACATACGGCAGAAGAAATTCTAAACTTGATCTAACAAATTAGATAAGATAAAACGGTTTGGACTATAGAAACTATACAGCTAGAAATGCATGAAGTTTCATTCACTATTTTCATGGAAAACTTTTACTCGAATGAATGCAAAATATGTGTAATTATAATATTGCTTTGCAAAAGCTTAAAGTATTTGTATATATTTCTATGCTTTTCGTTAATACGCATTTAACATGCTTTACAAAGAGTATTTACATGTAATGAGCTCTTAACTTGGAGTACTATTTTTTGGTTGGTTTCTCATATTATCATAACGCAATATCTAGTTACTTGTTTTAATATGCTTAACAATGCAAATCAATGATGACATACGTATATTATGGTGTTTTTGGACACAAATGTGACTTAATTAAAAAAGTGGTCACGTGCATTCCAAAGAGATATTTGAAATATATATGCAGGAGCGGATTCATAGGCAAGATTATGATGGTCTCTCCGCAAAGTTAGATATTTTATGTACGTATTTTTTAAAATTGATACAATATTAAATGTTGGCACCTATGTTGCAAGAAGGTGGAATGGTCCACTTGGTTGTAATTTAAGTTATTTACCAAGAGGATTATGGATCAATTCTCACTTAACACATCTTTTTCTCCTTTTTTAGTAGTGCACCTATGTACTAGATTTTCTAGATCTGCCTATGTTATATGGCGTATAGTTAGGTTCTACAACTCAAAATGCTTGGTCGGTTGTTACAAGATTCGAGTTAGTTTTGGTTGTAATTTCAAATAAAAACTCCAAGGAGAAGATGTCACGACCCAATTGCTCTTATAGGTCGTGATGGCATCCAACGTTACGTCTAGGCAAGCCAACAGTGAACTAACCATGTGATTGCTCCTTTTAACAATTTAGAAATAGTTGATTTTTAATTATTAGATAAGTAAGAAGTGAGAAATTTAATAAAATAAAGAGTAAACAATTATAAGAACACATGTGACGAAATAAATACTCAAAAGTCATCAAGTGTCTACTAGCATAAATTCTGAAACCTGCTGTCACAAGTGTATGAGGAACTAGTAGAATATACAAAACTCTAACTACTTGTCACGACCCAAAATCTCACATGTCGTGATGACGCCTATCTCAATACTAGGCAAGCCGACAATCTCAATAAACCACCATATCTTTTAAGTATGAAACATAATATTTAAATTCAGTGGAAGAAATCTCACAAATATAATCACTCCCTAAACCCGGTGTCATTGAGTACATGAGCATCTAATATGAATATAAAGTCTGACTGATAAAACACTGTCTGAAAGTATAGAATAGTACAATAACTGAAGGAAAGAGAGACAAGGTTACCGGATGCCAAGCAACTACCTTGATAGTCTCCAACTGGTAACACACTAAGGTCTAACAGTCGCCGTGTCCGGAAGCACCTGGATCTGCACACGAGGTGCAGAGTGTAGTATGAGTACAACCAACTCAATAAGTAACAAGACTAACCTCTGGGCTGAAAGTAGTGATGAGCTCCGCAGGTACAGTCCAGTACATAAATAATGGTGCAGAAATGTAGGCATGCTTTCAAGTTCAACAGTTAAACTTGATATGAGGAATATGACATCTCAATGGAATTCATTCGGTCACAATTCATTCGGTCACTCAGTACTGTTTACGGCCAATCCAGCCCAGGGATATTTCATATCGTATATATATATATATATATATATATATATATATATATATATATATATATACACACACACACACACACACACACACATCGACTGACAATGAGTCACTCAGTACCGTATAAGGCCAATCCAGCCCGAAAAATTTATCCCCAATATAAATGATACGGAAAGATTCATGTCCAGGGAAATTCATCACAATATGAATAAGTAAGGCAAGTCCATGCCCTGGGAAGTCCATCCCGAATATATATAATCATCTACGCTCACTGGGGGTGTGTACAGACTCCGGAAGGGCTCCTTCAGCCCAAGCGTGATATAAAGCCAATATGGCCTGTTGCAAGCGGGTAGCCCCGATCCATATAATGATAAAGCCTATAACGCCTGCTGCAGGGGGGGGCAGCCCCGATCCATGTAATAATAAAACCTATAAGTCCTGCTGCAGGCGGGCAGCCCCGTTCCATATAGTAATCATATAGATAAAGCCAATATGGCATGATGCGGCGCGCAACTCGATCCCATAAATATCCTCACAATGGACAAATATGACTGAGTGTGAAATGTATATTTTTAAAATAATTAATTTAACTGCAACACGACCCCATGGGTCCCAAAATATTGGCACGTAACCTAAACATGATCTTTAATAAGAGACTCACCTCAATTTCTCTAACACGTGAAAAATGTTCATATAATAGCATGATTTTTTTAATTTTACAACTTCACAGGATTTATTCAAGTCACAATTTCTATGGTGTACGTACACACGCTCATCACTTATCGTGTGCGTCACCTCCAAAAAATTTATATAACACCAAATTTGGGGATTCATGAGGTAATCATGAGGTTCGGGAAGAAGGGCAAGTTCAGCCCAAGGTTTATAGGTCCATTTGAGGTGTTGAGACGAGTTTGAGAGGTTGCTTATGAGCTTGCTTTGCCTCCCAGTCTATCGGGAGTTCATCCGATTTTTCATGTGTCTATGCTCCGGAGATATCATGTTGACATGTCGCATGTGTTAGACTTTAACACGATTCAGTTAGATGAGAGCCTAGGTTATGGGGAGGAGTGATGTTTGGCATATTTCGATATGTGTTGATGTTACTTTACCCATATTTTAACCGCTTTTT